ATAAATAAATAAATAAATAGATAAATAAATAAATAAATAAATAGATAAAGATATCAATCAGTGTGGCTTTTGAAAATGTTATAGGAATCAAGCTGGCAGAGATACACGATTGTTGGTGTGAATACAAAACTTTGTATTCTCTCATAACATTTATGACAAATGGTTAAATATGTGTCGGCAAATCGTTGTGGTAGCGATAGGTGGATATTTTTTGTATAACTTACAATTCACATAGTTTTGCAAAGAAGTCCTATGAGAATACGCTTTTGTCACCTAAAGTTTGGAGGTAGATAAAAATTTTCAACATTTTAACTGATTTATTTAATAGTTCAGATAATGAGAATTGATATAGAATTCAACCGACACATTCTGCCAAAAAAATTTTAATAGAGTTGTGCGGACGACAATGAACATGGAGAGCGGTCCGTGAACTATATATTATATTTGGGGGACTTCTCAAAACACATTAAGCTGAAAGCAAGGCAAATACAAATTATTTCTGGATTCAAGACACTTTTAATTAAAATGGTATTTGAAAGCAAAACATCTAATTAGATTCAGACGAAATCGTAGCAATGTCTCTCAAAAGCCTTGGCATTTTTCCTCTTCATAAACTTATTATATAGTTCGTGATTTCCCGGACTAGTTTTGGCGAGCGGATGGCGACGTCTGCACCTATCGTTTTCTTGGGACTCCCTGTTGACGTCGTAAGTCACTATCGCTCTCAGAAAGAGGAAAGCCCAGCCAGCTATATTGTCGGCGCATGTCCTCGTGTGGGGAGCGGCTGTTGTATGCGGGGCGCTGCTGTTCGGTTGTCTTGATCGTGACCGGCTGGTTGTGGTTGCGGTCCATCAGCAGGCTGTGTCCTTTGGTGTTCTGCTTGTCCAGCTGCTGGTCTGTCAACAAGTCTGCGTTCTGTCGTCTTTTATGGCCGTAACAAGCTTCCTGAAACAATATACATATAAATATAACAGTGTTTTATAATTTACTAGGATTTTATTACTGGTTGCTAATTGGAAAATATGGTTGTACTTTACGAAAACAATGATCGTTTCTCAATGGTATAAAATACAATCTAAGTTTGTGTAAAAACGCATTAAAATCGTCTTGTACTCAAATATGACCTGTTTTTGTTAATGATATATTGTAACATTATTTCGTTTTGCAACCAAATTTCTTTCAAAAGTACAAACAACGTTTTTTACAACAATTCAATAATATTCTTACTTATATCAAATTTTTCGATCTGATTCGGCTGTTTTGGCCAATCAGCTTGCTAAGTTTGTTGACAGACGGTCCCGTAATTGACTTCCCAGTTGCATTTCTATAAAGATCTTTGGCTGGCTGGCCTTAACCTGGTTAATATTTTGTTTATTTCTTCAATTTATGTCCGACCACTTTGTTGGATTAGCTTAATAGGATCGTGTAACATCAATTTACTTTCATCGTCTGTTATTTTCACAGCTTTTTTTGTTGGCTGTAATATCGTTACTGAAAATAAAATAAATAATAAAGTTATAATAATAATTTTATTATAATATTACCGATTAACCAATTTTTATTTTGAAAGGTAAAGTGTAAGATAAAGTTTTCAAAAATTTTATTAAAAATGACCTGAATTTCTATTATAATAATGATGAGACGATGATTATAATAGTAATTAATAATAATGATAATGATAATAATAATAATAGCATTATTATAATTAAAACTTCAGTTATTTTATCAAAATTTTGGAAAATTTATCTAACTCTTTTATTAAAAATAAAATTGTTTGGCCTAGACAATGATTACGTACAGTACATGCGTGTAGTTTAGAGTGTGAATAAAGTGAATAGAGTGTAATAATGACATTCACTGGCCTGGAGAATTATAATTAAATGTACGTAAGTTTTATTTTTCACAAAACATTTATTTACTTTCATTTTTTAACAAAAACAAGATATGTTTTGTAAAAACATGTAATGCCCCCTAGCGCATGGCCAATTAGTCATGTGAATAAGGTTATTATGCATGACTTTGACCCAGTGATCAAACAATTAAAAAGGATTATCAAGTATCTACTGGTCATGACCTTAACCTTTGACCCCTTGACCAAAACTCAATAGGGGTCATCTACTGGTCACGAACCAATCATCATACAAAGTTTGAAGTTCCTAGGCTTAAGCGTTTTTAGTTAATTGATCAGAAACCGTTTTTACCTTCAAGGTCAATGTGACCTTGACGTTTGCCCACTTGACCCCAAAATCAATAGGTCATCTGCTGTGTCATGACCAATCACCATACCAAGTTTGAAGTTCCTAGGCCTAAGGGTTCTTTAGTTATTGATCGGAAAACCGTTTTTAACATACAAGGTCAATGTGACCTTGACCTTTGACCCAAAATCAATGAGGGGGCATCAGCTGCTCATGACCAAATCACCATGCCAAGTTTGAAGTTCCTAGGCCGAAGGCGTTCTTTAGTTATTGATCAGAAAACCGTTTTACTTACAATGTCAATGTGACCTTGACCTTTGACCCCTTGATCCCAAAATCATTAAGGGGTAATCTGCTGGTCATGACAAATCACCATGCCAAGTTTGAAGTTCCTAGGCCTAAGCGTTCTTAAGTTATTGATCAGAAAACCGTTTTTACTTACAAGGTCAATGTGACCTTGACTTTGACCCCTTGACCCAAACTCAATAGGGGTCATCTGCTGGTCAGAGACTAATCATCATACAAGTTTGAAGTTCCTAGGCCTAAGTTTTTTAGTTAATTGATCGGAAACCGTTTTTTTACCTACAAGGTCAATGTGACCTTGACCTTTGACCCCTTGACCCCAAAATCAAAGGTCATCTGCTGGTCATGTAACCAATCACCATACAAGTTTGAAGTTCCTAGACTAAGGGTTCTTTAAGTTATTGATTGGAAAGCATTTTTACCTACAAGGTCAATGTGACCTTGCCCTTTGACGCCCTTAACCCCAATATCAATAGGGGTCATCTGCTGGTCATGACCAATCACCATACCAAGTTTGAAGTTCCTAGGCCTAAGGGTTCTTTAGTTATTGATCGGAAACCGTTTTACCTATGAGGTCAATGTGACCTTGACCTTTGACCCCTTGAACCCAAAATCAATAGGGGTCATCTACTGATCATGACCAATCATCATATCAAGTTTGAAGTCCCTAGGCCTAAGGGTTCTTTTGTTATTGATCGGAAACCGTTTTTTACCCAAGAGGTCAATGTGACCTTGACCTTTGACCCCTTAACCCCAAAATCAATAGGGGTCATCTGCTGGTCATAACCAATCACCATACCAAGTTTGAAGTTCCTAGGCCTAAAAGTTCTTTAGTTATTGATCGGAAAACCGTTTTTGCTTACAAGGTCAATGTGACCTTGACCTTTGACGCCCTTGACACCAAAAAATCAATAGGGGTCATCTACTGATCATGACAATCACCATACCAAGTTTGAAGTTCCTAGGCCTTAAAGTTCTTTAGTTATTGATCGGAAACCATTTTTCCTTACAAGGTCAAATGTGACCTTGACCTTTGACCCCTTGACCCCAAAATCAATAGGGGTCATCTACTGATCATAACCAATCACCATACCAAGTTTGAAGTTCCTAGGCCTTAAAGGTTCTTTAGTTATTGATCGGAAACTGTTTTTCCTTACAAGGTCAATGTGACCTTGACCTTTGACCCCTTGACCCCAAAATCAATAGGGTCATCTACTGATCATGAAAATCACCATACCAAGTTTGAAGTTCCCTAGGCCTTAAGGTTCTTAAGTTATTGATCGGAAACCGTTTTTGCCTACAAGGTCAATGTGACCTTGACCTTTGACCCCTTGACACCAAAATCAATAGGGGTCATCTACTGGACATGACCAATCACCATACCAAGTTTGAAGTTCCTAGGCCTTAAAGTTCTTTAGTTATTGATCGGAACCATTTTTCCTTACAAGGTCAAATGTGACCTTGACCTTTGACCCCTTGACCCCAAAAATCAATAGGTGGTCATCTACTGATCATAACCAATCACCATACCAAGTTTGAAGTTCCTAGGCCTTAAGGTTCTTTAGTTATTGATCGGAAACTGTTTTTCCTTACAAGGTCAATGTGACCTTGACCTTTGACCCTTGACCCAAAATCAATAGGGGTCATCTACTGATCATGAACAATCACCATACCAAGTTTGAAGTTCCTAGGCCTTAAGGTTCTTTAGTTATTGATCGGAAACCGTTTTTGCCTACAAGGTCAATGTGACCTTGACCTTTGACCCCTTGACCCCAAAATCAATAGGGGTCATCTACTGGACATGACCATCACCATACCAAGTTTTGAAGTTGCCTAGGCCTAAGGGTTCTTTAGTTATCACTCGGAAACCATTTGGTCTACGGACCGACGGACCGACGGACCGACAGACCGACGGACCGACGGACCGACAAGTGCAAAGCAATATACCCCCTTTTCTTCGAAATGGGGGCATAATTAATTAAGTTTATAAGAAAAATTTACCTTCGTTATTATCCATGTTTGCCACATATACAAAAAGCACGGGTTTTTCATGCAGGTTTAACGCAAACTTATGCACTGTAAAATGGTTAAAATTTGTGAGTGGTTAAATTAATATACGCAAATATAATAATAATAATGGTAAATCGTATCAAAAAGTTTTTAAAAATTTTATATTAGCGATGTGAAGACCACCACCTAATCCATTGATGGATCTTCGTAACAGATTATTTTCAGACTATGAAGCGCAATATCTTGGTCGAAATGTGTTCGATCTCATATCCTTGCAAAGGTACGAAATAACAGGCGAGAGTCCAGAAACATTCATTCAACTTGTCAATTCAGTTCCCCTTTTCCGAAAATAACAATACACTATCGAGACGTAATCGTTTGCTGCTCGTTGTGATCTGGCTGCGAACATACCCGACATACAGAACACTATCTGTTTTCTTTAATATCAGTGTCTCGTCCGTTAAGGATACAGTCCGAGGCCTCCTTCCTAAAATGGATGGGTACCTAAGACAATTTATTGAATGGCCAACAATTAACGAGTGGCAGAATTTGCGAGGGAATTGGCCTAAAATAGTGCCTGCTGCTGGAGCAATAGATGGCAAACAAGCTATGAGATTTACAGACCAAAAATCAACCAGCAACAGTACTTCTCAGAACACAGGCATTACCACTGCTTGCATTTACAGATAGTTATTGACAACACTGGCAAAATACGTCATGTGGAACGGATTTTTTGGGCACCCAAAAATGACCCCAACATAAACAGCCCCATCGGGGGACATTGGAAAAAGCCTTTTTTTTCCTATAATGTATTTTAGGAATAAAAATCCCAATGTCACCCAATCGAAACACATTTGTTCAAACGCAGTTTGACAAGCATGGCAATGAAAGGCGCGTGGGGTGCTTCTTTTAATAAATATGTGGGCGGGTTTAAAGTTTTAAAGTAAAATGCTATATCCAAATTAAACCCAATATGAACTAAACCAATTTGGGACACCCGCTTGTTTTTCTTCATTTTGTAAGAAATTTTTGTGTCCTTGTTGCAAAAAACTTTTGGGGCTAATTGATTAAAATTTTTGTTTTTAAAAATTATAAGCTAGAATTGTCCATTTTACTGTAGTTGCATGATTAGCAATAAAACATCAAGCAAACTTTATTATTTTGAGACAACCCCACGAAACAGTACGTACTTCACGCTTCACTTTCACAGTCCGTTATCGTCCGCACAACTCTATTATTCAATCAAATTTTACTGATTATGAGATATATTCATTATGCATCATGAAGTATGAAAGAATAAAACATTAGGGAGTGTGAAACGTTTTCTTTTACGAAAGGTGATGATTTAAGTTTGGGGATATCTATCAAGTTATGCATACAAAGGTTTATGCTAGAACAAAAATGAAAGTTTGGTTGGATTATTAGTTAAGTTCACATCTTTGTAAATTTTATAAATTGATATATAGCTAATAAATAGCTCACCATGTTGATAAAAAAGGATCAACATAGTTCAAATAAATTGTCCTAGAAAGAAAGGCCAGTCAACGCTGCCGGTAATTATTGTTGAAATCGTCATACCTAATGTTGAATGAAGATGAATCTGGCTGAAAAATGAAGTATTCTAAGCGGCGGAAAAGTAATGGCCCAAAAATTTTTTATTTAAGCCAAGAGTATCACTTTCCCCCTTTAAAAATTTAAAACCCGGCGTTTCTTTATTTTTTACTTACTCTTTTAAGGGATTTGGTTTTCTTATTTAAAAAATCAAAATTTTGGTTTAGTTTTTTGCTTAATGTTAACATTTCCCAACAATCACAAATCCTGGTTTGGGGCTCCAAGGTAATGCTAATGCTGCTAGGGCATTGCGACGTACCAAACCTGAGGATACAGCTGTTGATGCCACAATAGCAACATTTACGGCTACGCCAACGAGCCCTGATACCATTGCTAGTTATGAATTGTTAACAGCGGACACGCCGTTTAAAATATCCTCACCTGGCGGATTATTGACGTTGACCTCTGCGCTGGATTTTGAAACTAAATCCAGTTATGTTATTGAAGTAAAGTAAGTAGCAGTTTTGCACTGTAATAAAAGTAAAAGCAAATCTAAAGCTTAAAGCTATAATGTCAATGACTTTCTCCAACTATATATATTTTGAAACCATGAGGAAAAGTAACGATTGTTATACCTTTGTTATATACTTCAGACGATTTGAATTTCTGAAAGTAGTTATATGCTTTATCATTGTCGGAAATAGATCATTCATTATTTGTCAACTTGGAACCAATAATAAATAAATTATCAATAATTTTCTATATTTGTTACAATATTTTTTTTTAATTTGTCATCTTTTATTCCGTCACTATGCAATGACAATCATTGATAATAAAACTCAATTAAGAATATCTTTTTATAGTGGATTTTCTTTATTCACAAACTTGTCCTTTTTAGCATATACATGGGCTACTGTGTTTTTAAAATAATACTTCTATCTACATGTATTATAGCATAAATCAACTTAAAAAAAAAATCCATATACCTGCTGAATTTTATTGCAAGTTTTTAAAAAGATAAGTCTCCCTTCCCATTTTTGTTCCGCCTTATTTGGATCTTTCACTATCCCTACAATTCCTGTCACTTTAATTGTTTTAATACTAGTATGTATTTATTGCATTTGATATTTGATCTGCCCATTTGGTGCTTCGCCTTTTTGCCCTTGTAGTGAACCTGTGCGGCTGGAGGATGTCACAGAGTATGGTCCCTTGCTGATATTTGGTCTCAAATTTTGTAAACTGCAAAAATATAATCAACGTTTTAATAAAGCTTGCACAGCATGCAAACTTGTTTTTCAAGAGTGATATTAGAGAAAACAATAAACTTGTTTTGCTTCTTTAGCTATTGATTTTAACAATCTTATTACAATATGATATCTTGCTACGCGTAGTTAAGTTTTTTAAGGAGTCTGTGTTTGTCGTTTATTTATTCTCTCAAAGCATATACAAAACATAAATATTCTGTCTACCTTTTTAGAGCAACCGACAATAATGCTTCTCCGAATTCCGGCATTGCAACACTGACTATTACAGTAACTGATGTTAATGAAGCACCAGAATTTGGACAAGCATCCTATACTGTTTGCGTGACAGATGGTTCAGCTGCAGGTTAGTTTACCCTTTGCAAGCTTGGGAAATTGAATTCTGCTTTAATCATTAACATTAAATTCTATCCGATTTGATTGAATTGAATAAAAGAAAAAAAAGAAATGCGAAACTGTCAAATAGTTTAGACCCTGACAAGACGGTATTTAGCATTTTGTCCCGTTAAAAGTTGAAATCAAATACTTAGGAGATCATAGGTTAACATTCTTAGTCATCTTTTCCATGATAAAAACAACAACACGTTTGCAAAGCTTCAAATTACCTGATATGTTGTTAATAAAGCTTTATTTTATCTACGTAGCCACATGATATTAAGCAGATTTCTAAATTTTATTAATTTAGTTTAGTTGTATAAGATGATGTAATTCCCTTCTGGTTATTCTTTTATTCATTTAAAAGTAGAATAATGTAAACAATTTCTTATATGCATTTTTTAGCTTGGACCCAAGTTTTGACTTTGATAATTTAATTGAATAATTAAACATATTAGTATTTGGTATCTTTCAACATTGCAGTTGGTTAAGATATATTCCAATACTTTAGCTAGTAAGCGACTCGTTAAGATTTTTGTTTGTTTGTATGGATTTTTGTAGTTGCTGTAGCTGTTATTTTTTGTAAAAAGTATCCATTTGTGTTTGTTTGTTTTCATTTCTTTGTTTGACAATTATTGCCTCCATCTGAATCAAATTCACCATTTTCCTAGCCTGTTTTTATGTTGATTTTTTTAACTTCAGATACGTCTGTTGCAACATTCTCTGCATCTGATCAAGACGCTACCAATACCATCACCTACTCGATAAGTAAATATTTTACTTCTTTTGGTGGGGTTTTATGTCATACGGATTCTGTTAAAATAAATTAAATCAATTTCCCATCACTCGAGTAGATCCAGCTAACTGGATAGCTCAATAATCTAATATTCCTGTTTGTATTCCAGCATAAAGCTATAAGTTACAGGTGATTCTTAGTATGCAACCTGTACAACTCGGCACAGGAGGTCCCATTTATTTATTTTTTTGCTTTTGTTTCTAAAGCCACAACTAGTGATTATCATTGCTATACAGTTAAACAACCAAACTGGAAACTATGAAAATAAAATAATAATACATGTACATGGTTGTCATATCGATTGATTATTTGATTGATAGATTTATTGATTTTGTCATATCTTAATAAGTTAACATTCCAAACAAAGTAATCAAAATTGTCTGTGACGTTCAAACCTAGTGATATTTCTTGATGTACAATAAAAGATTTTTAATAAAACTTTAATAAAATTGCCTTTTGGGACCGCAATTAGCGTACCTGAGTTAGTTATTCTCTCTTAACATAAAACAACTAAATGAAGTGCTTAAATTCTGAAAGCTGCACAAGCTGATAACACTTGTTTTCATTACAATAAAGTTTTACAATTTACCAGTTAAACTTGTAAAAGGTTTCAATCGAGACATTTACACAATGTTTAAGGATTGCTTCGTTTCATTTACTTCAAAGGTTGTTCAATTTCGAAAACTGACATTGCCTAAACGTTGAAGAAGAAAAACATTATCTTGGTGAATAAGCCAATGAGATTTGTAAATTTAAGTGTAACCATTCGTACGTTTTACTTTGGCTAAACTTAATGCGGATACAAATTTGACAGCTTGAATTTAATTCATATTACAAAATCAAAATATTTTAGCTGGAGACGCAAACGATGACTTTAAAATTTCGACAGCTGAGCTCCAGGTCAATACTGGGAAAACCCTTAATACTTCTAGAACAGCGAAGTATACACTTGTCATACATGCCACTGATAATGGCAGTCCGGTACAAACCGGAACATCTACTTACACTATCAACGTCCAGGCGTCATGCAACGGAGCGACCGCTTTGACCGTGACATTGATGACTCTTTTACTGGCACTCATTGTGTCTTTAAACTGATTCTCTGATGCTTTATTCAAATGACTTTATGTAACATTTCTTAATTTTTTTAATATATGTTATCTTTTATTTATTAAATGGACCATCGTGTACAAATTAAAGATTAATTCAAGTAATAAAACAACAAGTCATGAAGAATAATTAACACACGTAATTGCTCCTATCCTTTTTGCTTTTTCTTTGAAATATATATTGTATATGGGAAATTAGTACTTATAGGTGAGATGACTCGCTCTGGATGCTAAAGTTAGATCATACCACATATAAAAAAATAAAAGCTTTCGTGCTTTCGCGATAGTACTGTTAATCAATTGACATTTTCCTGAAGTAGTTCCTGCTAGTTACTTGACGAAATGTTCTTTTTTAGATATATATAGGAAAAGATTTCCGCGTTTATACGTGCTATACATCAATAAAATTGATGATGAAATAATTATGAACTGCACCTCAACACAGCATGAGATTCCGTAAAATGACGTCTCATACCACATGGTATTTAAAACTTATTCCACGCTTGGAGTCAATAATGAAATTTGAAGTTTAAGATCAAGTGTGTGAGGACTGATTTTTAATATGAAATATCTTGATCGCATATAGGAAGTGTTCTCCTTTTGTGGTGAATGTGTATTTTAGGCATGCTCCTTTAATGATTGCCGTGAGGCAAAGGATTGTCACCTCCAGAGAATCTACTCCCTTATGTACTAGACTGTGTGATATGTTTGTGTTTATTTCTATCTGTGAAATGATATCAGTGATGAGATATTACCGTATCGATGTTTGATTCATTTCATTCTTATCTAAAAATATTTATTGTTACGATTTTTTTCTATTGAAACATGTAGCACTTCCAGACAAACGATAATTTGATCACAAAGATTTAATCAATTTATGAACTTATAATATTAATGAAATGTATGTTGTAAATTTATTTGTTTTTATTTCTAAAGCTTTAATCAGACTGCAAAAGGTTATATGGTAAATAACTAGAAATATTCGATTCCTGATTATTTTCTTTGTTATTCCTGATTGAATTGATGATGATAACTTAAAAGATTGCAATGATATGGTTAATTTTCCTTTATTTTCATACCAACTAGTAATATTTCGTCAGATATTGTGCTATAAAGATCAAAGTGTACATGATTTCAAAATTCAAATAAAGGTAACAAATATATAATGTTTTTGTTTGTTTGTGTTTTTGTATATTTTTATTCGGTCCTATTGGATTAACATCTTTAATTTCTGTAATTTGGCTCGTGCTGCGGAGCTTTAGAAATTGGTGTCATTTTGGTGAAGGTCAGTGCCATCTTTCGTGCTTGACATTTTCATTCAAATGTCACACCTTATACTTTATTGTTTATTGTCGTTTGAAATTGTAATGCGGCACAAAGAAGTTTATATGTAATAAATGTAAGTTAGATGACTGGTTGGTTAGTTGGCTGGCTAGCTAGATAGATGGATTCGTCATAGATTTTACACTGTTGCCCATGACACCAACGTAATACATAATTTTGTATACTTATCATGCAAGTTTTTAATCATCACGCTACAGTCGTCACAAGTCGCAGGTTTGCGTTATAACGAGTTTGTAAGACAATTTCGAGCTTCCTCTTATTTTTTTTCTTGCGTTCTGCACAGTTTGAATGTCCCTTTTTGATCAGTTATATCCCTTTTATGAAGTATGTCAATGCGTATATGCATTGGTTCCAGCATGAGAGAGTTAAACTCAAATGTAAATATATATATATGGCTTTCTAAAACAATATCAGCACGGGGGGGGGGAAGTGTTACACGAAGGGTGGAGTTCTTATGATAACTTGTTCAGGAGTTCTTGTGATAGCTGTCCGGAGTTCGTCGGAAAACATCTGTATATACTACAAAAACACTCGTTAAAAATGGTTATTTTCATCATTCCAAAATGAGTTTTAGGTGTTAAATTAAACTTTAATGATTAAGCTTGTCTTACATCTTGTATTATGTGTCAAAAACTAATTCACAGGCTGTTTTTCATCGCCTCTTGCTTCAAATCTGGTAGTTTTGAGTAAAATTTCCAAATTATTTGCCAATTCACAAGTATTGACCTGTTTATTTCTGGTCTTCATCCTTGTCATACATAATTACCTAATTATAATGCAAAATTGCAAACATAAAGCACCGGCTAACAGATTTATACTTGATTTTTTTCAAATGTCCCGGAGTTCTTGTGATAACTCTGAAGATGTCACAGAGTTCTTATGATAACTTTTATTATTGCCAGTGTGTTTCTTGCGCTAAATCACGGCACGTTTTATCGTTTTTTATTATTCAATGAGATTGTAAATCATTATGAAAATGTAGTACGCTCATACTTTGCGCAAAAAAATAGGATATATAATGTTGGTTTTGAGTGAATTTTAGTTCAAGAGATGTTATTTCTTACCCCCTTTTCTTTTTCATAGTATTTTTTTTGACGCAGATTTCGTAGACTGGAAAAAGGATTTATGTACTGTTTTCCTAGCAGTTTCCGGCCCCTAGCATTTTTCTGGCCCTTTATCATTTTCATCCAGGCATACAGAATATTTTTTCTCAGTCAAGCATCTATGTTACTGCATCAATCAGAGAAACATTTGTTTTCTATGTAAATCAGTTATAATAGTACAGCGTTTAATATGTTTCAAAGTTTTGTCTGTTGTTCTAAGTTACATTAGAGAACTTGCGACACTTACAAGCAACACCTGGGGAATTCTAGTTTGAATGCCCATGCACAATAACTGAAATCCCATTTTAGGTAAATCTGGAACCTGGAGGGACAGTTCAAGTTTTTTCGAGAGATCGCTAGTTAGAGTCAACCGCAGTTGAGTTTTATCATGTATCGTACTTTTTTAAGACATAGTTGTGGACATTATCCTGGTTATATACTTACATGTATTTATTATGGTATTTACTTAGCCCTTAGGTAAGGGAAGCATTCCTATATATTGTCTGGTGGTTGCTTAAACATGTGAAACATTTGTGAACTGTACATTTGATTGTTTTTCTAAGGTTTGTTAGATATTTTTGCGGTTCATTTTTTTTATATATTCAGCTATAAATAATGGTAGCAAAATTTCAGACCCTGACATACTTATTTGCAAAATCCGAAAGTAGTCCGAACTCCTCGAAGCGGTTACTTCCCTTTCTAAGTACACTAACGCCGAAAAATTAAGGGGAGATCACTGCGTAAAGATTGTCAAATGACAGGCGCATTAATTTTCAAGCCTTCTTGGCGAAGAAAAAATAGTTCCCGATTGGTCGAAGATTTCTAATATTGTGTAATTCTTTAAAGATATACATGCTTATATTAAGCTCCGTGACTATTTACATCCATGTTAAACAACAGGTTTACCGTGAACAAAATATCTTGAAATTAATAAGGTTAACCCAAAATTAGAATAATGTGGTTTTCTTCAGACTTTTTTATTTTTCACCGTAGTCGAGGGATAACACGCTCGTTTAGGAAGCGAGAGGTCTGGAGTTCTAATCCCAGTTAAGTCATGTTGTTTTTGTTTTGTTTTGTTTTTAAGGCAACTAAACATTGAATTGAATATCAGTGTTGCAATTAGCCTTATAGCCAATTTACTACAGTTTTAACACTGGAAACAGCATTGATGGCACTGTACAAAAACAAATTGGTTCATAATCTCACAACCTTCACCTTTCTGACATTCTGAGACCCAAACAAATTCAGCGCCTTCTGTGCTTTGATTTAATAATTAAATTACGTATGCGTTATTGTTTGAAGTATTTATTCCAGAAAATCATATATTTATAGATAAGCTGCGTTATCCGAATAAAGAAACGCTTTGACTTGAGTATTATTTGTGCATGTTCCTAAACAAACAAAAACAAACAAACAAACAACAAAACCACATCTATAAGAGCATGTTTAGCACAGACGGAAATATAGCTATTTTCCTTACATTTCAGGACGGCTTAAATTTACTAAGGAAAATCATGTCAACATTCATAGAGTACAAGCTACTATAAGCCTTAATTACATTTTTTGGAACATTTTAATGTTTTCTCATTGTAAAAGACTATATATCATAAATTGTATACTGCCGTGAGGACAAGAAAGTCGCACAAATTGCACGTTTTTTCTTTTTTTGCATCGTAGACATGTAAACAATTTATATTTACAATTCTATATAATTGCGTTTTATTTCCTAAGGTATATAGATCTCTATTCCAATACAATGTACCATTAATTCATTAAAGGCCCTTTGAGCCCCAAAAATGCTAAAATTCATATTTTTCAAAAGCCTGTCATTCTTAATGTTTTGTTTCAGTTTTCTAAATAGAGCTTGAAAGCCAAATAGCAGTCGCCTTTTCCTTTTTATGGCAGTTATTATATATGATTTAGTTTTTTGAATGGAAGTCATAATTCCATTTTTTACATTTTGCTATATTTATGACATATAATTATATTGTTTCACTTCAAGCACTTCTCTGCTCAAATGATATGCGCGTAATTACGCTTCAGATCAACAAAACATTACAAAACAATTTTTGCCTTTTTAGAGAAAATTACAAATGTACCTGCTTTTAAAATATATAAGAATTTACAGCGGAAAAGATTATTAAATACTTCAATCGCTTTTGTTAACTGTTTTTAAAAGCGCTTCAATGTAAAAAACGTTATTTATACTATTGATATTCTATTATCTTGAGTAAATGAAGAATTTGTCTTATCAAAATCACTTTATGCAAGTTGCTGATGGGATAAACATGACTATCTTTGACTGTATTACGTTCATCGATCCATGCTATATTCTCACACTTTATTCGTATACAATCCCTACAATAATTTGTAGGCGTACCAAAAATGGAAGAAAATAGCAAAAAGAAAAGATCTAACTATTTATAGCAATGCTACAAATATCAGCCGGTGTGTTTCTTGAAACGTGGAAATTTCTATAATTAGATATTATCCAATCGGTCTGATTTTAATATATATAACTTTTTATCATACAGTAATATTCCTTAAACGGATATAGTTCTATAACATTAAGAAAACATTAAAAATTTATACCAGGAAAGCTATAAATCTTGAATTATGATGTAGATAATTCATGGGGATGACACTTTGTAACCTAAAGGTATATAATTATATCATTAAATTTTTCGTTTACTTTCGATTTGTACGTTAGTTTTGTACTTCCGGTTTCGTGTACCAAAACAAATCACCGGTGGGTGTTTCATTATTGATATTTTTGTTGTTTTGTTAATCTGAATTATTGTGTTTGTTAATAAGCTTAGGTAGGTCAGAAAATTAAAAATAGTCTAATACAGAATTAGTAATTTTCTTACATTTCTCTTTCGCAAGATATTACAACCGGCTACCGTAATTTATTCGTCCTCAAATTAAGTCGCACATTAGTCCACCGGCGCTTGACATTCTATCAATAATTGAAAAAATATAACCAAAAAAAAAACAATAGAAATAACGGCAAATATACCCTTCTATACAATAAATGTTTATTTATTGTTATTTACTGTATATTTGCTGTTATTTCTTAATTGTTTCACTTTGCTTATATTTTTCAATTATTGATAGTGTCAAGATCCTGTGATTAGTCAAACTAATTAGACTTGTCAAAGAGACATCGAGATAATTTGGGTTGGACAGTATATAAAAACTGTCAGTAAAATGGGGCAAACTGTCCACGCCAAATTAATAAGGCTAGTTCTCCATTAGTCTAATTAATTCGGTGTGAACTGATTACTGTAACACAATTTACAAAGGAAGTGGCTAGCCGTACGGGCCCGTACGGCTAGCCAAAAGGTCTAGCCGTACGTGAGTCACGTACGACTAGCCAGGACACACTGTATTGGCTAGCCGTACGGCACTTTTCAAAATTCTATGGAAGTCGAAAATGCATATAATATTTTATGACTTTAAGTGAGGATTTTAACCAAGAAACAGCAATTGTCTTCGTATGTTTACTTTTTAGATATTATAATCGCCTTGTTGGCTATCGATCTTTGTCATCTCAAGATGTCATGAAAAAATAACGGTTGTGTGCATTTAAATAACACAAATTGAAGAAGTAAAATTTTGATAATGTTCCTTTTTGTTTTATCAAGTTTAATTTTCGACACCTTAAAATTAAAAAAAACATCGGAACATAATTGTTGTTGGGCTCTGACAAT